GAGTCATGGCTCGGTGTCGAATACCGCCGTTTTTACTGCGTTGCAGAAGAATGGCGCAAGACGGTCGGCTGAGCATGTGGCGACTGGCTGGTTGTGGGTGTTGCTCGCTATCACCTTGTTTACGGACAAGAGTGGTAACAGGGTCAGTCCCAAGATCCTGTACGAGATGATGCAGAACCTACAGACAGTTGGGGATTACTCGTGGGGATCGGCTGCACTGGCATACCTATACAGACATTTAGGTATGGCCAGCCGGGGGGACTCGGGGGGAGTGGCGGGCTGCTTGACTCTCTTGCAGTCCTGGATATATGAGTATTTCCCCACATTCCGACCACCCGGTGCTCGTATGGCCTCCGAGCCTGGCAGCCTAGCTCGATCAGCCTTGTGGAGGACCGCCGTCCCAGATAACTCAGATAAGCGCCTCAAGGATTTCCGTGTGCGGCTTGACAAACTCACAGCCGCCGAGGTACGTTAAGTTATTTTATTTACATTTACTTGAAAGTGGTTTAGAATACTCAAATTGTTCGAATAAATGTTTTATGCAAATGTGAACAGGTAAACTGGTTGCCATACGGCCCCGAGCCGCATGTGTTGGAGCCTAGGACCCTTTATTCCGGATGCCTTAGGTACCGGGATATTGTGGAGCCGTACATGCCTATGCGTTTCTTGCGCCAGTTGGGCTACCGCCAGATCATCCCTCTCAGCATGTATCGGCCGCACACTGCATATCGTGGTTGGAATTCTAGGTTGTACAGGGTCGAGCATGGAGCTACTACTGCAGTAGATCACTGGGGCCATTTCCCGCTACTGCATTCTATACGCTTGTCTGATTTTACTCCGACCACGGCAGATGATCGGGATGCGGCCCATGAGGACTACCAGCGATGGTATGAGCGGTATTCTCATCCTAGGCTCTTGCCCGATAGTCAGGCGGACGGCGAGGCTGTCCCTGCGCGCGCCAACATCGATTTTGTAAGTCGTTTACAAAATTTTATTTATTTATTATACGTTCATTACACTTTTTTATGTTTTATAATTTAAATGTGTGTATATATTTTATTTTCTTGTGCTTTGTGCAGTGGGTCGGACAGTGTTTGTCCATGGCATCAGATATGCATCGGGAGTTCGCAACACTTGATCCTGAAAGGGCGGCATTTTTTGCAGAAAAAATTGCTCAATTGAAGTCGAATTTCGATAAAGCGCAGTAGTGATGTAATAAATATATATATTACTGTATGTTTGTTTTGTTATGGTTACTTTATATTACTTTATGTTTGTTTTGTAACAAATTATTAGTAGAATTATTTTATGTTTGTTTTGTTATGGTTAGTTAATTTTATTTTCATCCAAACAAACAAAAAAAAAACAATTATATCACATGAAACGGTAAACACGTCGAGTTATCACAATCTATCACTCGTAAACATAGTACGAACATATACGCATAATGCATGAAAATATGATGAATGTCAAATATCACAATCTATACCCCATCTGCGGTACGAATATCATGCCACAACTAGAACCTGCTCTGGTACTGATTCGGCCAATGTGCAACCGAAACATCTCGGTAGTTCTCCCAAAACATGCACATAGGCGGCAATGGAAAATCAGAACACATATTCACACGAATGAAGTGCTCGTAGGAACCAAGATGAGTTATGACAATCTCACGGTCAGGTTGTGTAGCCGTGGATGCTGCGCGGAGCGGAAATACCGTCATACTGGCCATGCCGATATTGTTATCTCTAGGACCATAGCCTAACAACACAACAACTGCGTTAAACAGTGTAGCAATAGCAAAGATGTCGCCAAAAGCATCCATCCAATGCTCTTGGCCACAAGGACCCCCGTCCCATCTTATACGATCGATTGCAACGTCGACCCCATTCCAATAAAATGGAACGTACAAATTTCTGTTGGCTGCAACCTCATTTGCAATATTATTTCTTACCAACTGCTACATATGCTGATCCCTATAAATGTAACTAGCAACCACCCGAAATCCGCAATTCCCATCCGCTGTCACATCCAGATAACTCTGTACGTAGCTGTGAACTACGTAGGGAATCCTGTGACAATGTCGGTATTGGAAGAAAGGAGT